TCAAAGAGGATTGAGGCAGTTTTATAAACTTTTGTCAGTTGGGTACTGATCAGGAAGAGAACCATCAGTTTAAATAATGCAGTGCAACAAATTCAAACAACCAAGCGAACTACATTATTTATCTTAAAACTACCGATCAGCTTTGCCAGGCTCGTTCAAGGCTTGAATATATTTTGTGTAGTAATGGCGATAGAAGCTCTGCATTTCACGAGCATCACTCTTTTGCCTTTCAGCTAATGTTGTTTCATTTTCCTGAAAAGCAGCAATTCCATTCAGCAACATAGATGAAAAGAAGTTAGTCTAAATGGATATATTCACCGCAAGGTGCATTTTTACAGTTCATTACTTTTCTTTTTCTTTGGTATGAATATATAGCTACCATCAAATCAAAGCAAACCCAGTTGAGGATGGTTGGGAGGGAGTTCCACATTAGCTAATTAGCTAATTAAGAGAATAATCATGAGTTTATAAGTAAGGAATACATCTCCATTGGTACGAAGCCTTTTAGGGAAACCAAAAGTAAAGCCATGAGAGCTTATGCTCAAAGTGGACAATATCATACCATTATGGAAGTTTGTGATTCATAGCAGGGTATCAAAACCATGTCCTTAACTTAGCCATGTCAATAGAATCCTCAAATGTCGAATAAAAAAGTTGTGAGCCTCGAAGGTGTAGTAAAAAATGACTCAAGTGTCAAATAAAGGGTGTATTTTGTTCGAGGGCTCCAAAGAAGGAGTCGAACCACAATTAATGGGAGGTTATTCGAGGACTCCATATGCCTCAAGAGAGGCTCTATGGTATACTTTGTCCGAGGGGAAGATTGTTGAGGATGGTTGGGAGGGAGTCCTACATGACTAATTAAGAGAACGATTATGGGTTTATGAGTAAGGAATATATCTCCATTAGTAAGACGCCTTTTTGGAAAACCGAAAGGAAAACCATGAGAGCTTATACTTGACAATACATACAATTGTGGAGATTTGTGAGATTTATGGTTCCTAACAAACCCAACCAATACATTACTCCCAGATGATTTTGGGTAGTCCGCTATGCTACAAATAGATATTCATGAGATATAGAACAGACAGAGGAACTGAAATACCCGCTCTAGACGCTGAAGAAGTGCCGTCTTAAATTGCCGAACACCACGTCCGCTTGAAGTGGGATCTAATTTGTGAGCCTTTTCAAATGCGTAAAATCGACCTGACCCAGAAAACGCAATGATTCGCTGAAGTTAACATCAATTTTCTTCTCGAAGTAATTCTTCAAGAATATAATTCCTCAGCAGTTGAATCAAAGAAAAAAGTAGTACTTTAAATGAGTTCCAAATTTCCAAGCAAAGTTGCTGCAACTTACATAGATAAGCAACCCTCGGATTGATTGCCTCGACTTCATTAGCAACACGAAGAATTGGCGCGATCTCATCGAGTGAAGAAGGAACCACCTCACTGTCCATGATCGACTCAGCTAAATTCCCTAGTGTTTGGGCTCGCATGATTTTCTTACCCGGTGGTTGATCCGAAGCCCTTCGTTGAGCCATGGTTAACCAGTACTCCTGTCTACCTGCAAAGTTTCCAGACAAAATTCTTAAACTCAAAGCCTAAAAACAAAAACTCGACATGAATTTAGAAGATTCCCACTTCAAAGTTTAGCTCGCGAGAGGAGCAACAGTGGATTCAGAAAAGAGAACCAATTGAAAGAGTGAACGAGGAAGCAATTATCAATAAACTCGCTGCAATTTTAATATCAAGAAATCAAAAACAGGAAGAAAAGGAACATAACCCCACCAACTAGTAGATTAATAAAGAGATTGAAGCTTGATTAGCAAGCAACGAAGCAAGAACAATAAGTACGATAAATTCCAATTCCACATTTCATCCAAAAATCGACCTCGAAATCATATCCACCAATCCAAAATTCACTACCAAATACCAAAATCCAAGCAGTAAGTAACAAAATCAAAAAGAAAAAAGAAAAAACAGTCCAAATCCATCAGGCCGTACCCGAGCTCGTTCAGCTAAGCAGCAGAGAATTTGAATCAAAGCTCCAAAAGAAGTGATCGGGATCGCCAAAAAAACAAACGAAAAGTCGAGAAAGAATGAGAGAAGTGGGCCGTCTAGTAATGGAAGAAAAAAAAAAGGCAAAAAGAAGCTAGCTACAAAGTCTCGACAGCAAAGAACAAAGACAACAGTAAATGAAATGTTCATACATAGCTTGAGAAATTCAAAGACTGAAAATTTTCAAATAGTTAGAGAGAGAGATTTGGGACGAAGCAGAGAGCGGGGAGAAAGGAATACAGCAGCAAGAACTGGGAGGAAGAAGACGACTGCGTATGTGGACGAATCACTGAATAAAACGCGCCGATTTCTCAGTTCTAAGCCTTTACCCAATCACAACATGCCACGTACCCCTTCAACTTTTGCCTTTCCTCCAATGCCCATGAACTTCTGATATTTACGAACAGACCCATTCGACTGACGACGAATGATTTTTCTCGTCGGCCACCCAGCCGAATCTGGTAGTTGACTTCTTTTGACGGGTCATCTGAGCTTGGCCACACACGATTTTTACTCTCATGCACAGAATTTCAGGATGAGCCCACGTATTTTTCTTAATTTTACGATTGAATTTGTGAAGCCCATAATTAGTCACCGTATTTTAGAAAATGATTCAAATGAAATTTCTTAAATTAAATATTTTATAATTCATTAGGAAAATCAATAGAAGGAAGGCTTATTTGAAGTTTTTTTTTTTTTTTTTTTTTTTGTAATATTACCATTTTTTCTGCCTAACTTTAATGCTTTCTGTAAAATATTTATCGTCCAAAAAGCAAAAGTATGGTAAAGCATACTTTATAAAAATAGAAAATAAAATAAAAAAAAGATCCCACTTCCCACTTGTTTATTATTATTATTTCTATAATGCCTTTCTTTTTCTTTTTTCCTTATCCGAAAGATGCTTTAAATTTGCTGAATTTATGTGATTTATATTATATATAATTAAAATTTTGTCATATCCTGTCAATTTCACATTAATAACGACGTCCACATTAATATTTATTAAAATTAAAATGTTTTAATAAAAAAATATATATATATATATATATATATTAAAGTGAGAGACTAAAATCTTAATCGATATTTTAGTCCACAATTTCACATTAAATAACGACGTCCACATTTTAAAATCTTAATCGACAAGAATCAACTGCATGGCACTTGGTCAAGTTATAAAATGTTTTTAATAAATATATATTAAAGTGAGAGACTAAAATCATTGAATTAAAATGTAATATATACTTTTATTTAAAATTTTAAAAAATAATTTCTTATATATGTTCTATTAAATTAAAATTTTACTCGATAAAGGGTATATTTCTTTAAATTTTAGTAAATTTTGATAAATTTTCAGTGAATAATTAAATCCTAATTGTTTTTTTTTTAATTTTAAAGATTCAAATTTTCATACTTCATATTAATTATACTAAAAAATAAATATATTGTTTGTGTTATTTATTTTTACGTATGAATTAATATTAACAGGTAATTTTATAAACTAGAATCAGGTGTGATGGAGCCATTTAAGCAACGTACCAAAATGTTTGGCTACATATTATGTCATGTTTTTTATGTTTGGTTAACTATCTAAATCATAGTCTCATCATTGCTAAATCAACATTTTTTATAAATAATTACGGGAAAAATAATCTAATTTTTTTAAAAAAATATATATATAAATATAACGACTCGAACTTAAGATTCAAATAAGGATTTGAAATCTAGATTTGACATTTAATGTTCTTATATATTAAAATATTATATGGTATGCTATTTAAATCAACAAACTACAATTAACTCCAGATAACAACTTGTAACATGCTTAATTAAACTAGTTGAAGAATAAAATAAGACAAATAGATAAAAATACAATTCATGTTTCGTTGTTCTCTTACCTAATTGGTATTTTGTTTTTCTTTTACCATGTCACGCGTTGTCAAGAGATCATTAGAACACCTAGATAAGTAATTAACGTGAGTATGGTTAAGTAATAAGTAATGTTATTTAATATTAATAATCAATTTATCTACCTAATCATGCATACGATTAATCTTAGTAAATTTTTTTAATATTATTCTACCTTAATTGGACAGTTGCAAAATTGAGATTAAAACATCAACTTTTGTAAGGATAATTTGTGTTTTGTCCACTAATATTTAAATTGGCATATAAACATTAATTCATAACTAATAAATCAAAATAAAATAATATATTTGTAATTTTGTTTAAAGTAATTAATTTATAAAATTTGAAAGTTTATATTTATCTGCTAGGTAATTAAACTTTATATCTGTATCAGATCACTAAAAAACAACATGTATCTAATTTAATCATTTAAATAAAACATAATTCAAAATTAATTTTAAATCATGAAAAAAAAAAGAGTACTTAGAGTGATTTTAAAAATAATAAAAGTAATTTTAACAAATTTGAAATTATTTTCAAACATATCAAACGTGAGTTATTTTTGGTTAAGTCCATATATTTTGCGATATAAATATTTAAATAAAAAAATAAACGAGATCTATTAATTAAAATTAAAATTTTAAAATTTTATTATAATATCATCAAAATTTATATTAAATAAGTTTATTCTAAAAGTTTAGAGACATATTAAATAAATATAATATATATATATAACACGTATACAAGTTATATTCTATAATTTATAAAATTTTATTAAAATTCTTAAATTTTAAAATTATTGGGCTAATTGTTAAAATTTTAAAGATTTTGAAGATTAAAATTATTAATATCATTTCGTATAACCTAAAAATTATTATTGATATTATTTATAATATTATTCCTAAAATAAATTTTTTTCATATTAATTATCACATTAATTTACATGTATGCCCTTGAATTTTTATGCAATAGTATCTGTTATTTTTTAAAATAATTAAAGCTTTAAATAAAATAGTTATCCAAATTTGGATTTAATTGGTCAATGCGTATTCCGTGGTTCATGCAAACGATAGAACGTGTCACATCGGCAACAATAATCGCCGATCCATCGTCAAAGGGATCAGATTGGTCGCCGTTCATTCTACAAGTACCGAAATCCCGAAACATCACTCAGTAAATTCCGAGGCCGATCACAGAAAAACATGGATCAGGAAGGGAAGGCAGACGAGCAACTGTTCAACCTTCTTGCCAGTCTTCTCCACCAGGTCGCAATTTCGCACGACTTTACTCGCGATTCATCAATTTTTCAATGTTTAGTTCATCTATCCTATTCGATTCTATAATTCTATTCGTGATTGAAGAGTATTTATGGATTGGAATTGACTAGTTTGTCATCTAGGTATTGTCGAGACGTTCCGTTAGAACGACGAGTTAGGTTGATTGTGTTTTTTTAGATGTTTCGAAAAGTGAGTAAATAATCAGGATCGAGTTCGATGGTGCTTGCTCGATGACCGATGTTGCGCTGCGTCGATATTTTATTCTCTAATATTTATTTTGGGAAGAGATATAGGTGTTGGGGCTCCAGACTGCGAATTTTGGGGCTGTAGTGTTTCCTGTTATGTATTATTGATTAAACCTTCTCTTATCTTTAATTTCACTCGAACATTGATCCTTGAGTGCTGGGTGGTTGAAGATTGGTTGGATCGTGTTTTATCGGGCACTGCGTATAGCTAAATTGTTCTAAGCATGTAAGAATTCTGTGTACGCTTAAGAAACATAGAAGAAGGTAATTGGCATTTAAATTATTTATAAATGACGTTGGGGCATTGTTGCAGTAGAAGATAATGGTCTATGCAAAAAGTAGCAAGCAAGAGGGTTCTTACTATGCAATTGGCTACTGATGTACACTGCCCTAGTTTGAACTTTAATTCAGTGTTAGGAAGTATACATTTAAGAGAACCATAGTGATCTAACTCCTGAACTCGGTTTTTACCAACCAAATTTTCCCTTACTACCCTTGTTCTGTGTTAATTGTCTGCTGCGGATTATTGGGAGTGAATCCTACATTGGTTAATTTAGTGGAAGATCATGAGTTTATAAGTGAGGAATACAATATCCATTGGTATGAGGCCTTTTGGGGAATCCCAAAGCAAAGCCATGAGAGCTTATGCTCAAAGTGGACAATATCATACCATTCTGAAGAGTCGTGATTCCTAATATTGTTCATGTTCATGGATCATGTATCATGTTTTTCAGTTTTGTGTTTTACCTACCAAACTCGCCACAATACTTATATTGGTAATACCTCCTACGGTGATAAGTAACCGACACCTCTCAGTTCACACGTTTTGATTTCTCTTCCAAAACCGGCGCAAATTTTATTTTTCATAACATTGACATGGGGTTGGGTCAAGGAATACTCCTTCAAGTCTTATTTATATTCTCACAGTCACACTACACTTTTATTATTATGCACCGAGCCTCATTCATGGGATGTGAAATCTCTAAGTTTGCGTCTTCATTCCCCTCAATGACAAAAAATTGTCTCGTCGTGAATCAAGATATTCTCCATCCATCAACTAATTGTACTTTATCCAGTGTTTGAACTTTCTTCATGTTACTGGAAACTTCGAAGGTTAGTAGCACCGATTATAAAAAGGAAAGTGAGATTTTTTATGGGTAACAAGTGTCGAAAAGTTGAGCCATCTTGTTAACCAGCACATTGAAGCTGTACACTAGAGTTGGGAAGGGCTTGGAATGGATAACTTAGGGAGGGGAACATAATCTCTTGATAAAATGGCCACGAAGATTCCCTCCAAAGATTAAAGAACTTTGGAATAGAAGTGATTACCAGTTACTACAGGAAGAAGGAGGGGGGTGGTTGGCCATACAGAGACAGTGTGAAGTACATATAATCCTTGGAACATATCTAACCTAATAGAATGCTTTTCTTCAATTAAAGTGTATAATGCGTTAGATTCATCCTTTTGGAACAACTTTTGGGTTGGGATTAGCCTCTGTCTATGGTTTTTACGATTTGGCATAGTGACATCTAATAAGGAGTGTGACGATCCAATGGGCATGGGGGAGAATTCTAGTTATTGGAAGGAAGGTACTTTCTAGAAATTCTTCTACCGTTTTTTTGGGTAAGAGGAGGTGAGCGAGCTTCAAGATCTGAATGAACTACATCCAGAGGGGAGGACAATCAATTTCCCCCGTATTTAATTAGCCTAAGACTCGATCATGTTACCATTCCTAGGAATGTAATGATGCAAACACAATGTTGAGTTCTGCCATCACTTGGACATGATGTGCAACCTGGACTACCATACAATTGCGTTGATCTTTAGTACCCTCCTGTCATTTCATCTCAGCTTCTAGCTTCACAGTTCGATCTCTAGACATCTCAACCAGTGAGGATATTTGCAAAAATCAAGCTCGTACATCTGGTTGGAAGAAAAACTTATACACTGATCTTAGTATTAAGAATCATTAAAAAAGGCTAGCCTCTATCCAGCCAGCCTACAACATACCAACTAGGAAAGACTTGAGAACAATTACTTATAAAAGACATAGTCATTGATGCAAAACTAAAGTTATTTGTTGAACATGCGGATGAGTTTGGTTGTAGGATAGGACAGGGGCATGATATTGTGAAGGGCGTTTGGCCAATGATACTTGATGCGAAAAGGAAACTTCAAGTGCAAGAGGGCATAGAACCAAAAGCACACTTTGAACAAAAATTTACAATGGTGTTGGAGAGATTCCTCATAGATATGGGTTCATACTTGAGGCATTTTGTGTTTCATTCCATGGGCAGGTGGATTGATATATCTAAGAGGCAATACAAAATTTTGGTTTTAATCGTGATAGGTGAGCATGCTAAAAGAGGAGTTTTGGGAGCTATTTCTTCCATTGAAGTCAAGTTGAATTGCCATGGTAACAGTGAAAAGTCCGAGAAGTAGTTTACTATCTTGTGGTTCAAAATTGAAAATAATGGTTACCAAAGATAAATTCTTCAGTTTCATCCTTGGCTTGGAGCTGATTGAGAAATGCTATCTAAATTTGCTATCTTTAACCAGAAATGAGAAATGTTTTTTTTTTCTTTACTTAAACTTCAAAAGTTCTTCTATATTATAAAGAAGACATTTTACGAGGTCAAGAAATTTTGTGCATACTTATGTTGGAGTTATTAATATTTGGCTCTTTATTTCTCTATTTTATGCTTTGAAAATATATTTATATTTCAATGTTATTTACCAAATTGAAACTTACATGCATGGTTCATTATGATACACGATATACTAAAATTTAATTTTGATACTCTTCTGTTTCACGAGTTAACAACCTTGGTTATGATATCATTTGATACAAAGTACAGACAGAATCTAAATTTTTGTTGCACCATTCCCTTTGGGAATTGCACTGGGAAGCAGTTACAAGATTCTCCAGTTCTCGTTTGTTTGCCATTTACTAAATGCATTGTGCATTGAGTAGAAAACTTTTGGGCAAAAATGGTGAACGTCTTTGTCTATTATTGACCATGGAATGAGAAGAGCTAATTTCATAAAATTTTTATGAACTTATGATATCATTTAACGGAAGCACATGCTTTTAGATAAACATGGGTTCCTTCCCTAAACCAATTAGCAATGAGGGGAGTAATTCATCTTTCCAATGTGGAATCCTCAACATGCCCCTCAAGATGGGACCTCTTTGGATTTGCCACTCTTGAATCCGATCCCAATTTGTTTTTAGACTGAATATTCATTAGAGCTTTATAGGCTCTGATACCATGTTAGATACATATGGAGTTCTATCTCAAAATCCATTGACAATGAGAGACGTAATCCATTTATTTTATAAAGATTGTGTGGTCTCTTCATTTTTCTGATGTGGGATTGACACCATGCCCTCTCAAGACATACGCAAAATCAAGATTCACCCGACGACTTTGCAGTTGCACCACCCCCTTCGGAAGCTGGTGGGGGGGAAGCAGTGACAAGTTTCTTCAAAGCTCCCGTTTGAACTATGTTTGTTTGTTTGTCTGTTTCAGAGAGTACCCATTGTTTAATACATTGCAATCATGTACATTATAATTATTTGCTCGATATGCCTATCCATTCCTGGAAATTTAGGGAACTTATCTGCACTTTTCATTCCTAAACATACATTTATTTGTAGGTGGAATCACTCACTAACCAGGAAGAAGTTGAATTGCGTACAAAGATCGAAGCCCTTGGTCTTGAAGTTACGAAAGTACCCTCGAAGTCCTTAAAGCAGCTTGATGAAGTCAGTCTGGTTATCATTATACATTCATTGCATTTATCTTTGCCCAATTGCAAACACTTTCTTAAAGAGATTGATTTTTATGTCTATTTTTTTGCGTTCTACTCAGTTGGAAATTGCCAAGGAGTTGGATAAGCTATCTGAAAAGCTAGATGATGTGGATGAAATGATATCTTCAGCAATGGCTGCAGACCCACAGGTGCAGTCTCTGTTGAGTGATACTGCTGATATTTGGATGCCTGTGATAACTGCTTCCGCTGATGAACGACGAAAATTCACAGCTTCTGTTGGAGAAAATTCAGAAACAGAAGAGAATTGTGGCAGTTAGATATATATATTTATTTTTTTGCTTATTTATTTAAGGAATAAGTATAGTAATTTCATTGCTATATCACAATTTTGTTATATTTGACAACGAATGTCTTCACGCCATCATTTACATTGGTTGGAATGGACTGTTTCCACTGGATAATTTATTGTGCCATCTTGTCTGTAGAAATCCTTCATAATTCTCTAGAGATTCAAGTATGCTAATTGTTATATTCATCTTTTTTTTTTTTATTAATTTTTTGCTCGAATGAAATTATGTTTACAGGGCGTGGAAATAAGTTTTTGATACTCTTGATTGTACTCAAAATTTTAATATCTAACATTCTCCCCGAAACTTGTTTCTTCAGGATCTGAGACGCCAAGCTTCTTCTTCAGATGTTGAAAGGCATCCGACTCGAATGCTTTTGTAAAAATGTTGAGAATTTGAAACGTTTTTAGTGTTTAAAATTAATTTTGACGATATAAAAAACGTGTTAGTACAAAATCAAATATAGTGAATAGTTAAAGTCGCATTTGAGATTGTGTAGTGATTTTGAACTTGACAATATCACTTCCAAACGATTGATAATCCTACACAAGAAAGAAAAATACTTGAGATTTGACGAAATTATCGACTTCGTACATTCTATTCCCGAGACGGGTCACCTAAGGAGGCTTGACTTGGACATTTTAATAGATGGGTTAGTCCACACAATAAGTTAAGACCATTTAATTAAACATAGTTGAAGAATTCCTGCCTGTGAAGAATTCCTTCCTCACAATTAAACATAGTTGAAGGCTGAAGCAAGGCATAAACGAGATGAAAATAAAAACTATTCACTAGAAGTAAGCTAAAAAAAACTAGCCAAAAAGTGAGTTGTGTGATAGGAATATAACCACACGGGTTTAAGCTTCTAAGGCAACATGAATTATGCCAATAATGGCATACTACTTTGTTGAGATCAGCTTGACGACTAGACCTATAAGTGAAGTGGCAGCAGAACTGAGCATCCAGAGTAGGAGGGAAAAGACAAAAATTCCAGCCAAGATAGTAAGAAATGGAGGACCTTGGGCATCACTACTTGCTTTACTCGAACCATTTTCCTCCTTGATGGAATTCCCATCTGAGGAATTTGAGGCTGTTATAGAAAATGATCTTTGCCTCAATTCCAATCCTTTGGTGTTCCTGTACCTGCATAAAAGGAATCACGCAAGCACTAATCTGAGTAGCAATATTGTGAATACAAATATCAGTCATCTCAGGCTCATTGTGTCTAGAATTTAGATTTGTAGATCAAGTGAAAAGAAAAAATTGAAAAAGCGAAAACCTAAACGAAGAACAAAGGACAATGAAGATGGAACCAGGAATGATAGGAACCTGTATTTTCCACTTCAGTACTTCCAGAAGATTTTAAAGAGGAAACTCCATATCATTGAAAAGAGAGAATCCCCTTGGCTTGTAAGAATTTAGAGACACTCATGGGTTTGATTATGTGAGATCCCACGTCGGTTGGAGAGAAGAATGAAACATTCCTTATAAGGGTGTGGAAACCTCTCCCTAACCGACGCGTTCTAAAAATTATGAGGCTGATGGTAATACGTAATGAGACAAAACGGACAATATCTATTAGTGGTGGGTTTAGGCTGTTACAAATGGTATCAAAACCAGACACCGAGCGGTATGCCAACGAGGACGCTAGACCCCCAAGGGGGTGGATTGTGAGATCCCACATCGGTTGGAGAGGAGAACGAAACATTCCTTATAAGAGTGTGGAAACCTCTTCCTAACAAACGCGTTTTAAAAACCGTGAGACTGACGACAATACGCAACGGTCCAAAGCGGACAATAGCTGCTAGCAGTGGGCTTGGGCTGTTACAGACTCATTTCACTTCATTTTTCAGTCAACTGACTACTTGACTACTTGAGAAACAATTGGATTTAGTTAATCTTTCAAGATTTTAACAGTTTTTGTGCATCAACAAGAGCATGCTTTGTGCATCCAACAAGAAGTTGGACTAGCAGCTCCGTTGACGGATTCTGGGTCTGCTATTTCCTGCCCCTTCGCTTCAGCTGTGGTTAACCCAAAAAAATCCAAATTCTTTTTCAAGATACCATATAGGCCATTTCAGGACAATCATTTCCCGAACATATTAATTATAACTACTTCCCTATCAAAGAAGAGCTTTCAGGAAGAACTAATAAGAGTCTTATCCGGAAACCAAAAAATTGGTGGACAAAATTCTATACATGCTCGTTCAGGGACCAATTGGGTAGCAAATCAAAGATTCATCCTATTAGATGTCGAACAAGATCAGCAAAATAAAGCCTCAATCCTAATATTAGTATAAGCTCTTTTTCGCTACTTGCCAAAACAAAACCAACCAGGATTTAGTATAAGCTGTTTGCTTTAGTAGCCGAAACCAATTAGGAATCAGCAAGGCAGCAGCTATCGTCCAATTCCATTTTCAACACAGAAATGCAATAGGATTCTGCAAACATGCTCAATTCAACACATTACGATCTGTATATCCTATGTGATTCTAAACGTTGAATGCGAGGGATCGAAGAAAACTGCTCAAGTAAACTTCTAATATAAGAATTCTGAAAAACAATACCTAATACCAGTAGAAGCACTTGGCGTTAGCAGCCAAAAGCAATTAGGAATTAGCAACTACCTGCGAAAATGGAAATTCCATTTTCAACAAAAGAATCAAAGCCGATCCACTTTACAGAATTAATTATCAGATGAACTTCATTGCTAACGAGCTCACTAGTCACATTCCAGCATATATAGAAATCCCGATATCTCCTGAGAGATCATTTAAATTGAATGCGAGGAATCGAATAGGACTGGTTAAACGATGGATACCTGAAAGAAGGAATTGGAAAGGCATTGGAGTGATATTGAATGCCGGCGATGGAGGAGGGAAGAACAGCTCCGTGAATCAAACTTGGGCGAGAAGTGAGATTCAGTCGAGACGGCGGCGCAGAGAAAATGGAAGCCATTCACCTTCACTCGTATTACAAAGACTTCGGAACTTCGGAAGAGAAGCGAGCTCACAAGAAACTGTGGGCGGAGAATGGATGGTGCTTAATCCAGTCGTAATCCACGTGTCATCTTGTTGACGCGGCTACTTCTTAATAATTATATAATATCCGAAAATCTTTATAAATTTAATATACTTTTATAATTTATATCTCATTCATCCAACTATTTCTCGAGACATTTACAAGGAAACTTTATGGTCCTATACGATTTCTCGAGAATTTACAAGGAAATTTTATGGTCATATATGATTTCTCGAGACATTTACAAGGAAACTTTATGGTCCCTATACAATTTTTCGAGAATTTTCTAGAAAACTTTATGGTCCTATACTAATCCATTGAAAGTTTGAAAGGAGCCTTTGAAAATGTTAAGTGAACCTTTTTAAGGACCCGTTGGATAAAACAGGTAATTTTTAAAGTTCAAAGACTAAATAGACACAAATTTAAATATTTAGAGATCTATTAGACTTCTCACCAATTCTTAAAATTTTCATTGGGTTAAACCTTCACACCGTCAATATTTTCTAAAATTCAAGGCTTATTAGATACAAATTGAAAGTTTATGATTCAATTTCATATTAATATATCAGGTAATTCTTAAAATTGTCGAATATGTTAAGAACCTATTATATATAAAATTGAAAGTTGTAAACTTATTAGACATTCTTTTAATATATGGACATTTTAAACATAAGATTCGAAGTTTGATGACTTATTAGACACTTTTTAAAGTTCATAAACTTCTTAACGACAAAATTAAATGTTCAAGAACTAAACTTATAATTTAATCGATAACGTATCATACTATTTCTCATTCGTTCTAGAAAATGTTCCAGAATTAAAAAAAAATACAGAGATGCGGTAATCACACATGAAGTATTCAAACCCTTTTATTTATGGTTCCCACCATTTCCTCTCCTGAATATTGTACTTCTAACGACTAATTAATGAGGCCGAACGAATAAAAATTTGCCAGAAAACCCAGCAAGTTTAAAACACAAGTGATTCTAAAATCTACTAATCCCCGAAAGTAGTTCCAGATGATCGTGCATCTGTGTGGTTAACCATGCTTGAGTAATTATTACAAATGAGAAGAGATCTCTCACCCTGGATCAATTTGTGAAGGCTGAATGAACATTTTTTTCGTCAGCCATTTTAAATCAAGCTGCTTTTTTGCAGTAGTCCTCGAGCCATTTCAACGTCACGCTCTTCGGCCTCTCGAGTGGCAATCCCAGAGCTCGGTCCCATATTAACTGAACCCACAAAATAGAATACAGTAAAGATCAAAGAGTTGGGTAAAATCAAGAAGAATTGAAAATGAATGTTGAAGTATACAAACCTGAGAGCAAATTCCAAGACTCCTTGAAACGCCAAAGAGAACAGTGAAGTACCTGCGCATAGTTAAAAGGGAAAGTTTTTAGTTATCGATTAGTTAAAACTTGAATGCGTACTATTGAACCACAATCTACCTTGCTTCAGTCAAACCAAAGTAGTTCAACAGCACTCCACTGTGAGCATCAACGTTTGGCCATGGGTTTTTAACCTGCAAACGAGAAAAACGCCACAAGAAGAGACGACAATGTAAGATCCTAGGGTGCTCTCCACGAGTATCAACAATTCAGAGGATAGTTTCATGCAGTCAATCAAAAAATATATAATGATGATTAAAAAATGAAGAAATATATCATCTTGGGATCATGTCTTGGTTCATAAACAAAAGAAGATTCAGTCCATTTTACGATTATCCAAACGGGAAAGAATCTGAATCTACACGGTTGATAAACATGAATAAAAAAAAAAAAAAAAATCAGC